AAAAGAATATAAATCATCTACCAATGTGCAGTTTCTTTAGGGAGTGATTTTGTAAATCAGAGTTCAGTGCAATGCAATTATAGGGTCATATAGTTTATTGCCTACCAAAAAATATTTGGTTCTCGATATGCCTATTTTGTCTCACTGAATTCATGATGTCCATCTTACCTAAAACTATGATGGTGTTTACATTGACAAATAGGAGCATAATCTTCATGGTCTCCTGCTCCTCTGTCAGTCTTTGAATGTTGGAGTCCATGGAGCTCTGTTGAAGTCACTCTTCTTCCCACTCTGCAAGTTCTTCCTGATTTTAGTTGTCTTCTTCTCTCATGGTTTCAGTTACTCCCAAATCTGTATTTCTACTTCAGACATTTTACGTAAGTTTCTCCCTGTGATAGGCAATTGCCCACCAAGGTTGCCTTTATGAGCATGCTTGCAAGGCCAAATCCATGATTTTTCTCTTGTCCTCCTTTTCTCAGTAACTCTTATAGCCATCCACCAATTGCTCAAGCCCAACACTTGTAAGTCTACATAAGCTTCCGTTTTTCTTTTGCCATGTATGAGAATTAGACTCTAGATCGTGTCAATTTAACAATTCCTAAAGTTTGTTGAATTCTTCCTCTCTTTTCCTGCTACCACTTCCCTATTGCAGGTTCTTGTCTCTTTGCAGTACTCTTACAATAACAGCCTTCTGTCTCACTACCTCTATAATTATACAAACACACTTCAGCCTCTTCCCTTTATCCCAAGAATCATTCTGAAAAGCAAATATGGTATTTCCCTGCTGTAAAAATTTCTATGTGAGATTTATAATCTAAGCCCCTTAATATATCCTCTGTGTATTTTCTCAGCCTCTTATTCCTCAGTCTCCAGCCTCACAATGTATCAAAGTATGTACTTTTTCTTTTTTTTTTTTTTGAGACAGGGTCTCACTCTGTCACCTAGGCTGGAGTGCAGTGGCACAATCACAACTCGGTGCAGCCTTGACTGCCTGAGCTCAGGTGATCCTTCCACTTCAGTCTCCTAAGTAGCTGAGACTACAAACATATGCCACCATGCCCAGCTAATTTTTCTATTTTTGGTAGAGACAAGGTTTCACCATGTTGCACAGGCTGGTCTTGAACTCCTGGGCTCAAGTAATCCACCTCCTTCCCAAAAGTGCTGGGATCACGGGCATAAGACACCACCATGGCCTGTATGCACTGTTAATAACAAATTACTTGTAGCTGTCTGCACAAACCATGTCTTTTCAAGTCTCTTTATCTTGTTTATGTTGTGTTTTACCTAAAATTACTTTCTTCCCTGTTGCTCAGAACTACTCCATACTCAATCTAGATAATATTATCTCCCAGAAGCCATTTCCAAGAACCCACAGCTAAAGAGACCCTCTCTGAGAACTGTGTATAATTTTATCATCATCACATTTAGCCACAATATGTGGAAATTATCTGATTATGTGTCTAGCTCTTTAGCTAGATAGTTAATACCTTCAAGGAAGAGACTGTACCTTATTATTATCTTCACAGGACTATATAAGTAAAAACAACTAACACTTCTTTAGAGAAAGAATTGTTATTTGCCTGGATAATTGGACACTTTTGTGACACATACTGATTGAGAATCATCACTTATATTATTATTGAATGCCTATTTGTTTGCTTTTACTTAGCTAACTTTTTTTCCATGGAATAGTTCAATGTTAGAATCACAACAAATCTCAGTGGTCATTTAGTTCAGCCTTCTCATTTTATAGATGAGGAAACTAAATTCTACAGAAGCTAAATTAAATCTTAAATTAGATACTTAAGATCACACAAGCTAGGGAAGCATTAGGAAACCTCTTATAACAGTCTGTCTTTAAACACCCAGAGCCTTATTTTTATTATACTTACCTTAGTTCTTAAAGTATGATAACCTATAATAGGTATTGTTAGCATAGTAGGGGCAAATCAGTAAAATGAGAATTCTTTTCAACTCACTGACACAAGTTGTTCCTTGTCTTGGGTCAAAAGTCAAGTAATTGGATCCAAGATGGCTGATTGCTAACAGCTCAGGATTGTAGCTCCCAGTGAAAGCGCAGAGAATGAGAGAAGCCACACTTTCAGATGAACTTTTGTTGCTCACAGACCAGGAGATTCCCAGTGGAGGAGCCCCATGGGTCGCCAGTGTGACTCTTGTGACTGGCACAGCGATTCTTGGTGCAAAATAAATGGGACTGGTTCCCCTTTTGACTGATCTTTGGAGCTCTGGGAAGGCAGAGTTGCCCATTCAGCTTATTGAAGGACAGACTCAAGAAGGAAGTCAAACCAGAGATTCCCGGGCAGAAAAGCACCATCAATCTTATTTCCGCTGTTTTAGCTGGTGCAGTGGGTTGCTCAGATTCTGGCACTGGGAATCAATAAATTGGATGTCCACTCTGAAACCTAATTAGAAAGGTGGTAATTACGAAGCCGACAGATGGATACATTTATAATAAAGGGAAGAAACCACCTAAAAAGGCTGAGAATACCCAAAATCAGAATGCCTCTCCCTCTACAGGGGTTACAGTTCCTCATCAGCAATGGAACAAGGCCTGATGGAGAAAGACTGTGTTCCATTAACAGAAGTAGGCTTCAGAAGGTGGATGATAGGAAACTTCTGGAAACTTCATTAGAACAATGAACTTTGCATTGTTCTAACCCAATGCAAAGAAACTAAGAACTTTGAAAAGAGGTTTGATGAAATGCTAACAAGAATAGACAATATAGAGAGGAATATAAGTGAATTAACAGAGTTGAAAAACACAACACGAGAACTTCGCGAAGTATGCACAAGTTTTATCAGCTGAATTGATCAAACAGAAGAAAGGATGTCAGAGGTCGAAGACCAACTGAATGAAATTAAATGAGAAGAATAGAGAAAAAAGGATAAAAAGGAATGAGCAAAGTCTCCAAGAAATATGGGACTATGTGAAAAGACCTAATTTACGTTTGATAGGTGTACCTGAATATGACGAAGAGAATGAATCCAAGCTGGAAAATAGTCTTCAGGATATTATTCAGGAAAACTTTCCCAATCTAGCAAAGCAGGACAATATTCAACTCCAGGTAATACAGAGAACAAAAGATATTCCTGAAGAAGAGCAACCCCAAGGCACATAATCATTAGATTCACCAGGGTTGAAATGAAGGAGAGAATACTAAGGGCAGCTAGAGAGAAAGGTCAGGTTACCCATAAAGGGAATCCTATCAGACTTAGAGCAGATCTCTTAGCAGAAACCCTACAAGCCAGAAGAGAGTGGGGGCTAATATTCAACATCCTTAAGGAAAAGAACTTTCAACCCAGAATTTCATATCCAGCCAAACTAAGCTTTACAAGTGAAGGAAAAATAAAATCTTTTATGAACAAGTAAGTACCCAGAGATTTCATTACCACCAGGCCTGCTTTACGAGAACTTCTGAAAGAAGCATTACACATAGAAAGGAATAACCAGTATTAGCCTTTTCAAAAATATACCAAAAAGTCAAGAGCATAAGAATTTACATCAACTAATGGGCAAAACAGCCAGCTAACATCAAATGGCAGTAATCCTAAATTCAAATCGACTGAATCCCCCAATCAAAAGATACAGCCAAAACCCATCAGTATGCTGCATCCAGATCCATCTCACATGTAAGGATACACAAAGACTCAAAACAAAGGGATGGAGAAGGATTTACCAACCAAATGGAGAACAAAAATAAATAAATAAATAAAAAGCTGGAGTTGCAATTCTTTGCCTCTGATGAAATAGATTTTAAGGCAACAAAGATATAATGGTAGAAGGATCAATGCAATAAGAAGAGCTAATGATTTTAAATATATATGCACCCAATATAGGAACACCCAGATACATAAGACCTATAAAGAGACTTGGACTCCCACACAATGATAGTGGGAGACTTCAACATCAATATTAGATAGATCAACGAGACAGAAAATTAATAGGGATATCCAGGACTTGAACTCAGATACGGAACAAGTAAACTTAATTAACATTTATAGAACTCTTCACTTTAAATACCCAGAATATACAATCTTATCAGTACCACATCACACCTACTCACAGGTTTAAATGAAATATTGGTTGGCCATTATTAAGCACAATTATTGGCATAAAAGAGGTTTTCAATACCCATTTTTAGAATAAAGCAACACTCCCGTTCTCTCTCCCTCTTCCTCTTTCTTCCTCTCCTTCATTCCTTTTTTTCTTTCTCTTTTTCTTTTTTTTTTTTCAAAAGAAAGAATTCTCCTAACTGCAGATTCCCAGGCTCTACCCAACGAAATGCTGATGCATGAGTTCTAAGCAGGCCTGGAAATCCGAATTTCCTATACGCTGCTCCCACTCCCTTCCACCTCACTCCAAGTGAAAAAAAAAAAGTCAAGTAATTGCGTTCCTGGAATAAAGATCAGGCAATCCAAATGAAAAAGTAGATGTTTTACTTTAATGTACATATGAAAAAAGCTAATATTTTGGAGAACATTTTTGAGAATGCATTTTGCCTCAGTTTCTAAGAATGAAATATGACAATGCCAGTGTCAATTTTGACTAACCTTACCAAAGGATCTGACAATGCCAAGTTGATCCTGCAGTTTCTCTTGCCTTCGTTGGAATCATTTTCCCTTCCAGGGAGCTAGGTTGCTTTGTAACTGAAAGTTTTAAAATATTTTATTCTCAGGCCTGGCTTGGAAATATATTGTTAATCCCTAAACCAGTTATAGAGGGTCGCTTTAAAAAAACGTGCTAAACTCCAACTTCTCTGAAACAATGGGAACCATATCAGGTGGGGTGTGATGATATCCCATAGCCATAACCCTTTGTCCCTCCCTGACTCCCTAGAGAAGTAGGCTTGGGTGCTCAGAGTTCTGGCAGTCTCTGACATCATTGATCAAATGGAACTTGAGAAGAACTCTAAAAAGTCTTTACGGTAATATTTTTAAATTACTACCTGCATTGAAATAAACTCTTATTTTCTTTTGAGGTATGGAGAAGCATTGTTTATGAATTCCAAACTTATCAGTGGAGTCACAGAATTTCTTAATACTGAAGGTGAACTCAAAGAGGTAAATATTTTAAGATGAGGTCTAATTATTTTCTTTTCTAAACATTTGACATTGTCCATTTACTTCAGTCATTTCTTTGCAACAGATTCACATCCATTCCTTTTACTTACACACGCACACCACACACACACACACACACACACACACACGTTAAAGACAACTCAATTCATGATTTGCAAAGGATATTTTTAGCATATCTAACATTGAAGGCCTGCAAGAAATATTTGAATGTGATGATTTTCAATCCTGGAGACCCACAATCTGTTTCAGAGCTCATTGATCCAATCAGCTATTCCTCAAATGATTCTATTAACCCACTGTAAAATTCACTAAATAACAAAACCATCCTGTCAGTGATTCAGTATTTGTATAAAGGTCAAGGTTGGTGTTGAGATACAGACTATATGTCTCACTGCTTTGTGGTCAGTCCTAAACAGACAATGGGCATACTGTACATAATAATATTGGTTTGTGCTACATAGCCTCTTAAATGAAACAACTTCTTATGCATAGAAAGAAGTATATTTGCTAATACATATTGAGATTAATAAATTGGTTTAAAAATGCTTGGTACAATCACAAATGAATTTCATTAATGAAAATACACCTGATTTTTAATGACTGGTGTTGAGGTTACCAGAGTACCTCACATATCCTTACTATGTTATTTCTGGCTTATTACTCTGGAAATTTAAGCCAGCTAGTTTTGTTTGTTTGTTTTGCCATTAAGTCACGTTGCTAATATAGAGAGATTAGAAATGGGGTGGGATATGGAGGTAGGTAAAAAGAAGCAAAATGTAGACTCTTTTAATTGATTACAATGAATTGTGCTTCAAACATTGATTGCCTTTTCTTGTGCTCCTGTTCTCTATTGTAAAATATAGCTGATATGTGGCATTGAGAATGATGGTTTTCTCAGTTTTTGCTGACAGAATGCCTAATGCTGTGCCCCGCAGCTAATCACACTAAGCAGCATCCCCTAGAATCATCAATGCTGGCATCATCCTTAATATCGTCTAATATTGTCCAGTTTCCTATGATTATCCCGCGTGCACCAACTTGGATTCTTTCACACCATGAGCTGAGCTAAGCTAAGTCTCTGATTGTAATGATTTGAAATTCAGTCTTTATCCCTGCTATGTGTGTTCCCAACCCTGAAGGATTAAATTTGAAAGCCCCAGAACATTTTTTTACTGTTTTCTGAATAAAGGAAGCTAAATGGAAAGGAGTGCTTTCATATCCATAAAGAAACAGGAAGAAAAAAAACAATCAAATTAATGATTGCTTCCAATTTTCTCTGTATTTAAATAAAATACTTTTAATTTAATGATTTTACATTCAATAATCTGGGAATGAAAGACTCATTTAGTCACAACCTGTGCAGCTATTGAAGTGAGCACAAAGCGAAATCTATCCCTCTCCTCTTCTCTCCTGTTTGCTCCCTTTGTTCTTTGTGCTTCTCTCCTTCTCTTTTATATCCTCTCCTCCCTACCTCTCTCTCATCCCTTCTCCTACTTTTCTGCTTTTCTCTTTCCTCTACCTCTGTCTGCCTTTCATATTTTTCTGGACTTGAATAGCCAGGCCCTGAAAAGAAAATATTTTAGACATTTAATTGATTTTTATCACATATTGACCTTTTTGTCTTACATGTTTCACTGGTTTATTTAGTTTTTGCACTTTATTTAATTGCCATTTTAGATGTTTCAAAGTGCCCCTATAACAAAGGGTATAATTTCAAAATTGAAACTGAATTATGGTTTTTATTTCATTACCTACAAAGCAGCTAATGTCACAATGCTGTTTCTCAGAGCCACGAGGAGTGAATCTGTTCACTATGGAGTTATTTACTCTGGCTTTGCAGTTCAGCAGGTGCTGCCTGAGGCTCTTTAATACCTTCATCATCTATAAGATTGAGGAACACTATTGTCAGGTGGGGTGGGGATTTTGTTTTTTATGATGATAGCCCCCCTTTCTTAAATAGAAAAGGATGAGAGAATTTCAGTCACATTTTACCTTAACCCATAAACCCCATAAGCAGAAAGCCCAAGGTACTGCCTTTGGATATGGCATATTCTTATTTCTAAGTTTGTAGATCAAAAGGGAATCAGCATCTTTATGAATTCTGAAAACTCATTCCGGATTTTAATGATCCTCCTCAGCTTTAAGTGCATTCAGTAAAGACGCTTACACTGGTCCGTGGTTTCCGCCCCAAAACAGCATTCTAGTACCTGAAACTGAAGTTTCCTTTTAATTACATGGCTGTGGCAATTGAAAAATATTTCTCCATGAGGCAATCTATCATTTATTTCATTTTAAATTAATGGAGACAATCTTTGAACCTCAGATGCCCTTGCCATTTTTCCACTAATGACCCTTAACCAATCCTTTCATATGCCTATTTTTCTGCTTTTTAAACTTAACATACAACACTGTTGTGGAGGAACGTAGAGCCTATGCATCAAAGATGTTATGTTTACAGTTTTAGTATTGAAGGTATAAAGTTTATAATAGGGAAGTACTTAATTCTATTCATTTATATGGTTACTAAGAGTGTGCTATGTTTTACAATCAACTATAAAAATAATTTATCTTATGATGTTGAGATCTAGGATACCCTGAAATAAGAGGGATTTTTTTAATGCTAAAATATTTCTAATAGAGAAATTAACAAACATCCTTCAAAGTTGTATGCTAAGCAGATCAGGGAGCACAAACAACATTGCCATTTTACTAAACATTATTCTATCAAAGTGCTTAAACTTGCAAAGCATATCATGGTATACTTAGAAAACTCGATTAAAAAAAGCAAAAAGACTTATTTGGCAGCATAAATCCTACCAAAGAGCTGAAGAAATAAGCAAATTAGATTGCTAACTGCCTTTATTTTAGTCCAAGCCCTCTAAAGTGAGGCAGGGGTTTGTAAGGCACTGTGAGCGTGCACTAGGGCCAGTTCCAGGCAGTTTCGACCACTGGTTGGATATCAGAGCTATGGAGAATTACAGGGCCTAAGACCAACTAATGGCAACTGTGGAAAGTGGGCCAGATGTGTTCCAAAGAATAAGTTCTTAAGATACATATAAGGCACCTCAGACTCTCTGAACCCACAAGGGGGGTATTTTTTTACTGCACTTAAATCTTGATGTAAGAAGTCAATCTCTAGAGATGCACCAGTTCACATTTTCTATTGAGAGTTCTTTTGCAGGATAATCCAACTTACTATCCTTGTGTCAATAAATGTTTATATTCAAACCCATAGTTTGCCTTTGAGGAGGACTTAAGAGTTTTACTTCATGTGTTTAGGCTGGCTTACCATTTCATAAGGAAACCAAGAGCACGCTTCACAGAGTTAAAGTTGTGAAAGGGTCATTTATAACTCTCTGGTGTATTCAGTGACTGCCTAGGAAAACATGTAATAATTCAAAATATACTTTAAAAGGAGTATATGTAATTTTTTTCTGATTGACCTATAACATGTAAATAATGCCATGACAATATCGTATTTTTGTAATAAATTAAAACAAAATTCAAAACATAGATCAAAATATATTACTTTTTTCTTTATAGACTAGATGAGTCTGAACATAAACATAGAAGTACAAATGTATTATTGTGTTAATCAGATAACATTTAAAATTGTGATTCAAGTACTTCCATTAGACTTCCCTTTATATGTATGTGTATATACATTTCTATCCCCATGGCACAATGCCTGTAATATTTATTAATATTTATTCATTTCAATCCCTTTGCTTCTTCCCTTTTTTCTTAGTATATGTAATTTGATCAAATGCCAAATCAGTTTTAAGAACAACACCTATAATTTTTTGTTATACATTGGATATTTTACGTATTTGTTATAAAAGCACAGTGATTTTGAAATCTTCTAAACGATGTACCTCTGAGATACAGTTATCCATTGCTAATGCTGCTGGGCATAGGGCTTTGTAGGAAAGCAGAGTAAAAACTGAGAAAACCCATCCGTATCATGTAATCAAAGTAACATTTATAAATAAACTAAGCTATCCATGAACAAATTTCTAAATTAATTCAGAAAGTTATAACTGCATTTTAACTCTGTCTTCCACCACCATTTCTGCCTGCCCCTGTGCCAATCTTGATACACTACATTTCTCTCCTGGAATATCCTCCATGTGGCACCCACCACATGATGAATCACACTCCACACTAATTACACCACATAATGTTTCTGAGTTGCAAGTTGATTTTTCACATTTGTCTATTAGCATCACAATTGTTAGTTCGTTGCCAGCTTCTTAAGATATATCAAATAGAAAGGAAAAACTTCTGGTATTTAATCTTGAAGGAAAATTTCTGAGTATTTCCAGAGTATGTGAACTCTCTAAATAAAATTTTATGCCAAAAATATGCTAAAACACTTAGAAATTATAAACTTAATGCTCAGATTCTCTAGCTAACACCGTATCCCTCCTTTCGTCTTTCAAAATCAACTTACACAGGTGATTGCAATGTCATTAATCATCCAGTTTTCATAGCATTATTACTGTTTTTTCCACCAGATAATACTTTGGTTACTCCTTGACATCAAAGATAATGTCAAGCCCAAAACCACTGATTTGGAGAAAATAAAAAATAATTTTCTCTCTATAAACAAAATGTGAACTTTAATTCTTTTATTCAGTTTTTAAGGCTACTTTGTACATTGTATGTGCATTGAAGTTAGAACCAGTCCTAACTTCAATCTCATCAACTTATTTTGAAATGATAAATTCAATGTCTGTTTTAATATCTAATCATGAAACATGAAGCTGAATTTGGAGGTATTAAGTTGTAAGGTGACTATTTTTTGTGTTCCAAAATCAATTACCTTACAACTAATTGACATAATCTGTTATATTTCATTTTGTTTCCAAGCTCACTTCACAATATTAAATATATCTTCTGTAGTGATTGTGGCATTTTGTTTCAAATGGATTCTGTTTCCTAATTTTTCAAATAGATTCTTGTTCATGTATGTTGGACATTAATCCATTTTAAGACATGCAGGTTTACCATTTCAAAATTTTTTTTTCCAGCTCAAGAACTTCATGAAAAGCTATGATGGGGTAGCTGCTGCTTCTTTCTCACGAGCTGTGGAAACTGTTGAAGCCAATGTGCACTGGAAAACGCTTTACCAAGATGAGCTTTTCCAATGGTTAGGAAAAGCTCTAAGACACTAAATATGTATCCTATAAACAATTCAACTCAGACTTTTATGAGAAAACATGCTTTCTGTGGAATGAGGAAAATGTGCTACCTGGAAAATGGCCAAATTTTCAGTGTTAACATGTGGGAGGAATTTTTTTTAGTTTTTATATTTTGGTTTTGGGGGATATTTTTTGTTTGTTTCATTCATTCTGCTCTGTTTCTCTACTGGGTGTTCCTCTCTAAAGAAACTATTGCAAGTGAAACTAGCCATGATTGCTTCAGCTGTACATTCCTTGCTGTACAGGACCAAATATGATAGTGATGCATGTTGATGTTACAGTCAGTTTGGAAAAACATATCCAGAATATTCTGTGCATGGATATATGGTCCTGCCTGTGTTCCAGCATGCTTATTTCAAACCTCCAAGGTTGTGTGTGAATATATGTTACATCCAGAATGGGCATTACGCAAAAGCACAAAGATTATATATGACAATCAGTGTTGCAGTGAAAAAAAAACTAAAAACAGAAATTATATTCTCAATCTTGGGCAATGTGAGAGGTAAACGAGCCCTTGAAATGATTAATATCACTTATTTCAGCACTTAGATTGTCTGGCAATGATTATTGTGTTGCTAACTCATTTTCTTTGAGTTAAAGCTGTGAATACATTTTAAAAGGCATATAGTGTATGCATATGTATATGTACATAGGGAAGCCCCATATGTATATAGTATGTTGTACACTGCACATGTACAAAGAATGTGTTCAGATCAAAGAAAATTTATTTCTTTTTATAAACTTAAGGACAGTTGCAAAAGGCTTCAAATAATTTATCTCAACATTATTCTTTCTATGTCCTGACTAAATTTCTCAACTGTTACAAATTTTTCATCTACTTCTTAAATAACGGTCTATTCTACTACATGAAGATGAATACAAACAAAATTTTTGTATGAACTAACCACTCTTCCAATTCTCCTGTGTCAGCCTTGCCTATAGATTCTGCCATCATTTTTTGCCAAAGTTCCTACTGCATGAAACAATTATGTAAACTTGTAATTATTAGTGCTGAGAAAGACTTTATTTTCCACCTTGTTTGTTTTCCTACCTTATGTTGGGTAGTCCAGAGAGTTAAAAGTTTTCTGCATGTTGGTCTTTATGTCTGTGTTGCTCTAATCCTCCATTACGCAAGCATACCTCAAGTGGGTCTATTAGCATTTAATGACCTTTTATGCCAGTTGTGCCATCCTTTAAGATGAAAAGTTCCTTTTCTTATGTTAATGTACAAAGCTTTCTTTTGGCACTGACAACTATGTTCTACCTGAGAACTTTGAATAGCCATTTTCATGGCTGTGTATTATGTAACACAAATGTTTTTAAATGGTTTTCTCACCCAGTAAGCCAGTTCTCCAAACACTGCTTAGATGCTTCAAAATAGCATATTTTAAGGTTGCCAGTTTAAAATACCAATGCAACTACTCTACATAGCCAAATATTTGTAAATCACTTCCTATATTCCTGAAGTTTTTCATGCCTCCAAATCTTGCAAACCATTGAAAGAAATATATTCTAATACTAATCAGTAAATAGTGAAAATAGTTAGACATTTTAGAAACCAGAGCCATAGAATTATTTTAAATTAGCAGGAAAGAGGAGCTATTTCCTAATCTATAGAATAAAGTACCACCTAAAATTGAATTTTATCATTAAAGTAATTAATACCAATTAGTCATACTCAAATTTTTCAGCACTTCATTCAATTAAAATACGTGAATTTTAAATATTTTATATGATGTTCACAGGCATGATAATGCTTAGTATAAAATCTAAACTTTTTCCATTTATCAGAAGTGATCAAATTTATTTACTACACATCACATTTATAAAATTCTTGATTAAATGAGTAACTTCTAAAACATAACAATAATAAACACCACACTGCAATGCAGGTCCAAAATATGTGCTATATCACCACTGAACTCATGTAATAGATAAGAAAAAATTAGAGACGGATGTCTTGTTTTTTGTCATGAATTACTAAAAACTCTTAGTTGTTTTGGTATATTTTGAGTAAAATTACCATTTCTAGATTTGCATTTGAAGGGATTTCATAGTTTTATTTTCCTCCCCACTGTTAATAATCATAATCCTTTTTCAGTATTTTAGTGGCCTTGAACAACTGGTTTATCTACAATATCAGATCCTAGGTGTATAATTATGTGCAATGTTCAATACCTCTTATAATACTTGTTCAACAGTATGGTGGTATCAATGGCATTAAGATGGCATTTTTGTTCTACATATTTTTCAATAATTTATTCTTTCTAATGTTGAAATTATATCAGGCTTTACTGGTTTTTTTAGTTGTTGAAATCAGTAATATTTTCAAAATAATAAAATAACCGATGATATCTCTTGGAATAATCTGTAAAATGTAGTTATAAAATTCTATTTTCTACTTAGAGTTTTTATCTTTTCTTTTTTGTTTGCTTTACAAATTATATATATGCATGAAATAACAAACTGTTGAAAGTGTTCAACATCCGGTCATAACAATTTGCTGTGCCTCTATGTGTACAAAAAGTAGTTTCAATTAGAAAGGACAACATTATTTATCACATTGAGTATTAAACATTTCCAGGTAACTTATAAATAAAATGATTTCCCCATTTTTACATATTTTTTCTTAAAATTTTTCTGTAATCTTCGAAGTTTCTAAAATACACAATCTCAACCTCTAAGACTAATATCTTCAATACTAGGTCTATTCTTGAGTTTCAATAACAGGTATTTTAGTTGGGTCATAAACTCACATTGGTTTATATTATCTCCAGGACAATTATATCATAGGGCTGAGACTTTTGTGATAGTATTATTTACAAATATTATAAGTATAATATCTCGTGAGGCTATTATTAGGGTTATGCCTTGTGTTGATAAAATGCATTGCTTTCTCAAGAACTATTAAACATGTGGTTGTAATTGACTCATCACAACAACATAACAAATGTTGTTATCTCTAATATTCTGATGAGAGAACTGGGGCTCAGGTAGCAGCATGAGCTATTTAAGACTACAAAATGGGGGTCTGCACAGTGGCTCATGCCTATAATCCCAGCGCTTTGGGAGGCTTAGGGGAGGATCACTTGAGTCCCAGGGGTTTGAGACCAGCTTGGGCAACATATTGAGACCCCATTTCTATAAAAATAAAAATGAAAAATTAGCCCAGCATGGTGGTGTGTACCTGTTGTTCCAGCTATTGGGGAGGCTGAGGTGGGAGAATTATTTAAGACCAAAAGTTCAGTGCTCTAGTAAGCTATAATTGATATATTCCAGCTTGGTTGACAGAGTGAGATCCCGTCTCTAAAAATAGAAAAATTCATACAGTTGTTATTTTGTGAACCAATACAATAACCTAAGTCTATCACAACACCATTCACCAGCAAAATAAAAATATTTACTGAAAGTATCTCTATCCCTCGCATTAGGTGGAAATTTTCCAAATACTAGACCAGCATCAAAATGCACAAATATATTTGCAATAATTACATTATTTGTTAACTTTTGCATTTCTAATTTGCAGATATTAAAATGGATAAAATGTTAAAATTTACTTTGGTCAGTATAAATAATCAAATATTGGGACAAATAATTTAATTCATTTAGATTATTATTTTTTGTCCATATCTTTTGTTGAACATTGTTTAAACATAACCTTAAAGTACTGATAATTTGCTTAATTTTCAGCACAAATTTGTCTGATAAATTCAGTCTATAGTAACAGATGGTCAGAATGCAGATAAATAGTGTGCATTTAAATCAGTAAAAATAATATTCGGTTAACTGTCTATAAATCTATGCATACTAAGTTGTGAAAAAGATGAAATTATAGTATTACTGGATTAGATGCAATAAAGGAATCTTTAAGGAAGTTTACAATAATACATTTAATTAAAATCTACTGGCAATTATAATTTTAAGGAATTCTTTCTAAGAAGTTGGAGAACCTAAAATAGCTTACTTATTCTCCTGAGTACTGCCATTAAGTAACCATGTACTCCTAGTAAAGAAGTAAAAGCACATGTAATGAGAAATACTTAAGATTTCTTACACCTGTTTTTTCCTGTATCAGAGAACATAGCTGAATTATCATTTGACACTAGTAGTTACATATTGATACAATATATTACTATACTTTAAATAAATATAAAACTATAATTAAAGAAATATTTATTGAGCATCTTTTATTTCACAAGGCTCTTATTGAGGAAAAGGAATACAGAAAATGAAGAAGGGCTGAAGGAATTCATATCAAAATAAATGAAGAAAAAATGAAGAAATAATGAACTAGGAGAATGAGGGCAACATGAAAAATAAGTCCTTGCTACAGTGAAGAAAGTAAATCATTTTTAGGCATAGATCATATTATACAACTATTTTTGTACACCAGTTTCAAAACTTTTATGACACTTAGCATAATTTTTATTGTTTGATTTCCTAGTGCTTAACTGTGTTTTACAGAAATATGTTATATTTTGAAATTATAATCAATATAGTTTAAACTCTAATAATTGGAATGTAAATTGGGTTGGAATCTATCAATAAGAAAAGCTGTTTGATTTAGTAGGATTAGTAAGTTGCAGAAATACTTTAATCTACTTATGAAAAAGTAGTTCACGTTTTCTAAAATGGTTTCAGCATACTATTGGTATCTTACAATATGTTAATTTTAAATTAATCATATTCTTTAAAGCAGATTCAATAATACTTATCCTAAGCAATAATTCATTGGTTGAAATTAGTATATGTGAACCTATGAAAAAATGTTCTTGTAAAATATTCTAGAATCCCACATTTTAATTATATAAGAATAGCCTTTTGTTCAATTGCTTTGAACTAATGATGAAGTTTTTTAAAAAATTAAATATTTTATTTAATGTAATATAGATTCAGGAAAAGTTTAACAAAAATGTATTTCAGTAGTTTTTATTTTTTATTTTGTGCAATTTTATTTTAAAGTTTAGATAAGGAAAGTTTTTAATTGTCTTAACTATTTAATAAAAGCAGTTGTTAAAAATATATGTTCTAATGTTAACTATACTATATGTACGCTATTGCATGCATTTTGTTTTCTAAATAGGTTTTTCACAACTGGCCTTACTAGTAGATTATTTTACCCTAAATTTTGAAAACATAGTACTTTAATAGCTTTTATTTCAAATATGTAGTACTTTAGGGATAGTACTTTGAAAATGTTTATCTTTTGTACATTCCTAGTTCATTTATTAATGTAATAAGAAAAAAGAAAACAAAATGACTGATTTTTTTGTTATGAATTAAATGTTTGTGCTGTATTAATGTTAGGTGAGTTAAGATAGAGGGAAGCAACAAAAATTAGAATGCCTACTAAATGCTAGGCAGTTTATAGGTATTATCTCAATTAATAACCCTGTGAAATGTCATTAGATTGAATTCACCAAAGAGTAGATGGAGGCAGAGTTGTTATTAGTTTACATAATTAATTAATGGTATTCACTGGTATTCAAAACTCTGCAAACTCAAGTCTTACATGGCTCACACTAGTCATTAATCTGCCTTCAGCATGCATGAAAACATAATGTTTATTTGTCCAGACCATTCTCTATAGCAAATTTGAATAGGTACTTAGTGTACTTCATCATTGTCACTGGCTCTTTCGAAAGAAGTGTTAGTGTATTCTGGTTTACCATTCATTTCTTAACAAGGTTCCTTTATACATTCCATAAAAAGTTTTCATGAAAACATTTTACATTAGCATGTTGTGCAGTGAGTTTTAAGCTATAATAGGTAATTAACAGATACTTCAGCCAACAAGCTACACACAGGAACTTAAATGAAAAGACAGAATGAATTGCAAAGCTTTTACCAGTGGACCGCAAAGTTAAGGTTAAACTTCGGTCTTTGCAAGTGGAGGAGACATATTAGTCGAGCCAGAACTTCCCTTTTGCTTAACAGCCAGGTCAGAGAAGGATCTATGTCTTTCTGTTTAGAAGTATAGATAGACAGCAATTGCTTAATTGATTTGAACTTATATTTTCAATGGGTCTGCGGTGTGTAGATACAGTCTAAGATAAGTTCTTTGACTTGCGTCTGCACAGGTCAACTTCTCATCACCCACATTTTTCTTATGTAAGTAAATGAAAGAGTGAAATGTTTTACAGAAAATCTTACGGTGGAGTTAAGAATATCTGCCTCAAATGTACAGTGCATTTATTTTTTAAGTTAATCATTTAGTAGCTACCCTTTTAACCCCTCCCATGTTCACAGTATTTCATTTGCTCTTGTAAACAATTCTGTTCCCACCTTTACATAGCTTATGACCTGAGGGGTGAGAACATTCATTATTAAGTTTTTGTTTTTCATTTTCATTTAAAATAGCTTTATTAACTAGCATTTCTCAAATGCAAAACATTTTTCAAGTGACTATTTCCTCAAATGTTGCATTTTACCTTTCAAAATATTGTATAATAGCATTTTCACATTATCCTTTTGATTGCTACCTATATATTGCCATATATAAATATATCTATAATTTTTATTGCTATATTTTAATCCCTTTGCATTTTGATAATATTGAAAAGAGATTAGGGCTGAAAAACTAAAAAAGATTAGGACTTGCATCATGGATTGTCTAGTTACTTGAACAATAAGAGAAATTCTATCTTTGAGCTTTCATAATTGACTTACTGGACACTATGGACTTTATTAGATAATCTTTAAAAAATATTATATGAACTATTTTGAATGAGCCTAAATTTATTCAGTAATACAGTTTTTTTCCCTAAAGCTATTCCCCAAGTGAACAGGCTTATTTAAAATATGCCATATAAAAGAACATTTTCATTCTAATATTTTATGATTTAGAAATTAAAAAGTAAATAAGTGTTTTTTCAGTAAATAAGTGTTAATAAAGCATTGACCAAATAAATAATCTCTTGTTAGTTTAGCAGATAAATGTTTTCTATGGTATGCCTTTAAAGTTATTCAGTAAAAATTGAATTAGCATGTATTCAACATGAAATTTTTATTCCATTGTGACCAAGCACTAACAAAATTGATTTTTCTAAATGAGAAAAATTGTCTTCTGTATTTTAAGCTAAATAATATGAATTTTGCCTCTGATAATAAAATTTTGTACAATAATGTATAATGTATCACAATTTAAAAAGTTTTAATCTTCTGACATGCAGATAAGGCCAAAATAAATAATACCGTCTGTTTTTTTTTTAATGCCTCTATTTTCACTTGAAAATATATTTTTAGAATGTTGCATATATATACTGTAGTGGTCCCTGCAAATGGAAAAAAATTATTCTCTTCTGACATGGACATTTTCAAGACTATACACATGCTGAAGCTAGAATAAAAACGTATGTATTTGTGCTATATTGTATAAAGAAAAAAAAACCAATTTGGTCTCCTTTCTAATTATATGACTTTAGAATAAGTGAAATGGTCTGCACTTTGGTAAAAAGTAATTTTACCTGAAATGCATTTCAAATTGCTTTTTTAATAGGTGTTCTGCCTTCGACAGACTGTCAGGCTCTGAATTTCAAGAACAGTTTTCAATAACAACGGGGCTATAAAATATATATAATCATGACTCGTAAATAGTACTCAAAATATATTTTCAATGTCTCTAGGTTTTTCTCTTTCTATGAATTGGGCAGAAAACAGTAGAACTTGACTTGCATAGTCACTCATTTAAGCCTTTCCCATCATACTTTATACAGCCAGAGATAATCCTGCTCTGGTCCATGAACATGAGGGTAAGAAATAGAAGGCCTTCCAAGCCAGAGTAAAGAATATTTCTATTAGAGGATATAGTCAGTGTCTTGTGTTTGTGTGTGTCATGTGTGTATTTATATTTCTCCAGTAGTATATATATATTATATATGTGTATAACATATATACATATATTTGTGTATAACTATATATATAAAATATCCATATAGTATGTATATACATAATACTATCTACATATACATACATATGTGTATATCTCCTATACAGCACATGCACATATATGTTTTTTATTTTCCTGTCCAAATAATTGTGCTGCAGAAAAATCACATAAGTCAGAAAATGGCTATTGGAAATTATCAGTTAGGTACCATCTTAACTTGGAGAGCCTATCAAATTATTGGTGTATTATACTGGCATGATAGCCAGGATATTCTCTAAAAACTCCGAGGGAGCTTATAGATTCTGGCTCAGTAGATGCTGAGTAGTATATGATCACCTACATTTTGAACATGGGTTCTATGTGATCCTGGTGGAGGTGATCTGTCTCGACTGCCCTTTACATTGGCTAGAGTGGTTCATGTCCTTGACTTTACATTAGACTCACCTGAATTGTGTCTAAAACATGCCAGTGCCTAGGTGGCACTTCAAACTAACTGAAGATAACCCTGGTATGGGACATTCATTTAAGCATTTTTTGAAACACTTGATTTTAATATATAGCGTTCAGAAACCCTGAGAGAAGTTACTAAATTAAGCATAAAATATCTTAAGCATTAATTACAGAATACTACCAGAAATGCCTATTTTTCAAAAATCTAAGTTCATACTGTTATTTGGCATTCTTCACCAAATATAAAAGTCAAACAGGTGTTCTCCATTATCTTAATAGTGAAAAGCAAACAAGAAGTTTGGACAGTGGACTTTACTGCCCTGACATGTCGCTGCTGCGGTTTAAATCTGAGAGTGGTCTGGCGCCATCCACATGGATGCCTGATCTTTCCTTGTTCTGACTCTGACTTTCTTTTGTCACCTGCCTTATCTTATCACCAGCTTTCCCCTGTAGTCTTATATAAATGAGGATGAATAATTCCACAATCAACAATAACAATTTTTAAATTTTATTTTATTTTGCACATGTATCTCAGAACTTAAAGTGAAATTTAAAAAATTTTTTAAAAAGAAAAGGAGGTTCCCATTGGAAGAGTTTATCATTAAATGACTGTACCTTTACTCTGCTGAGTGGAACAATTTGTTTTTTCTGCTCTTCATTTCACAATTCCCTAACATTGGAGATCAGGAAAGACATATGTCAAAATCGTTATGCAGAGAGATAAACACACCATAAACTATTATTAAACACTATTGTCATCTGAAATGTTATTTCTTTTCCATATCTCTTTTTTGTTGTTGTTTTTACTTTACTCTCCCTTCTCGTTCTCTCTCAATGACCTGCCAGCAGAGCATTGAGCCTTTTCAGCAACAGACACTGTAGTTTTACTTGACATTGCAAAAAGAATAGTGGAAGATTTAAGCTGTTTCTATATCAGTGTGCATAATAGAAAGTGACATGTGTTCCTGGGATTGTCAAACAAGACCCAAAGGACATCTGGATACATAGAAACTGCTTGGTTGTACTTTTGAGTCTGTACTCATTCATCAATCCTTGAGTTCTGGCTTCCCTTGGGTTGTTAAAATTTGCTTTTCTTTCCTAAAGTCTCTAGCTAATTAGAGATTTCAGCATACGAACTAATCCCCCCAACCCCGTTTTTTTTTTTTTTTTCAATAAAAGGAGAGCTAGAAATATTGTCACTTCTTGAACATTTTAGCAAGCTGGTAGAGGAAAGGGTGAATTCTTTAATTGGATAACTCTTGAGCCATATCTGACAAAAAATAAACTCTAATTCTCCTGTCCTCCTTTTGTTATTTTTTTCATTCTCCATCTTTCACCCCTATGTAATTGTTTTTATAGGATTTAATATTGAACCTATTTTCATGCAGAAAGGAAATTTTGCTGTAGAGTAAGACCTTCCGAGTTAGTAGCTTCTTATTAAGATATCAGAATTCTTATGATGAATAACTTTACTGAGACATCTGTGACAAACTTAGGTCTGCCCAAAAACTCCAACAACTGCCTGCTGGGTAAAAAAAAAAAGAGGAAAATATTTAATGAGCACAGATCTATGTAGAAGTCCTAAAGCTAAATCTTAATAGGAATGGCTTTATTCCAGCCACTTGGAGAAATACATGAAATTTTAGCACAAAATTCCTATAAAATAAGTTTGCCATATTTATGACAGTGGTGGACTTTAGCAGACAGAAAATATGCAAAGATGCAACAGGTATGTAAATAACTACAGGCAGTTTCAGTATATCATGAATATATTTTATAGGCAATGGTTACTCTGGTTCTTGGTTAATCTAAATATTTTCAAGTGATGATATTTGAGAAAGATAATTGAGTGAAATAGATGTAATGTTTCAAGCAATAAGCACAAGTTCTAAAGTAAATATTACTTTCAATCCTTCAATCTTACTCACATTGCCTATGAAACACAAAGGCTGGCTAGTGTTTATGAGGTGTTTAAGTGTATATGTATGTGTGTTTTTTCCAGTGGAAGAGAAGGGAAAATAAGAAAAGGTTAAGAATAAATGACACAACTTTTAACCAAGCATATTTTCACCTAAAACTGAAATTAAAGTCCCATGTTACACGTGAATATATTCTTCAGTCTTTTAGAATGTTTCTTCAATTTGCTAGTTTGAAAATTCTCATATTCTTGCATATGAAAATATACCTGGTGAGTTAGAGGAGAGATTTAGATTGAAGTGTAATATTATTACTTTTCATTCAATAGAAAGGATACGAGTTTCTAGAACTGTCAAGTAAGAGTCAGTAAATAACTGGGTACATAGAAACTGGATGTTCTCTTGAGAGCAAAAACAAACAAACAAAAAAAACAGCAAGACCTAACTTTGGATAAATGAAACTGAAAACTCATGTTGCCCTTTCTGATTAGTAACAAACACAGGAACTCCAAAGTGAGAGGTGAAGATGAGTAACTCTTTGTTCTGCCATAAATTCTTTTTAAAATAGAGATTCCATGTGTTAAGTTTCTAGTCATTCTCAATTACTTGGATCAAATGACTAAAAGCAAATTCTTTGCCTGAATTTCATGCAGAAAAATCAAATCTGCTTTAACTATAGATGTTTTCCTTACTTACTATAATACTCATCTTCACTGTTTTTTTTGTTTGTTTGTTTGTTTGTTTTTGCTCTCAAGAGAACACCCAGTTTCTATGTACCCAGTTATTTACTGAATCTTACTTGACAGTTCCAGAAACTCGTATCCTTTCTATTGAATGAAAAGTAATAATATTACACTTCAATCTAAATCTCTCCTCTAACTCACCAGGTATATTTTCATATGCAAGAATATGAGGATTTTCAAACTAGCAAATTGAAGAAACATTCTAAAAGACTGAAGAATATATTCACGTGTAACCTGGGACTTTAATTTCAGTTTTTGGTTTTGTATATAGCCCTAGTATTGATTAGACAAACTGCAAAGATAAAGCAAAATATCATTTGGCATACCCTAGTGTCTATATTTCTAGTAACATCTAAATTTACAATTTCCTTATAAAGATGAGCTTGATCTGCATAGCTCTTGGCTGAATTAAAGATCCAAAGTTTGAATAGCCAACTCACAGTTTAATGCTGGCCATTTTTTACACACAAGAAAAGATATTAATATTCTCTTCTTACTAAATGTTGTTACGTGAGCATTTGGGGATCTGGATAATGTCATTTCTTGTAACTTCTCTTTCTACATGTCAGTAGTATGCTACCTTTGCCCTCATTTAAATAATGACATGAGATTGTCATAGATTTCCCCCCGCAATATCATTGTGCCAGTAGTTCTGTTATCTGCCATTAGTTTCTCATTGGTTATGTGTGTGGATTCAGTGAATGTTTTTACATGGTACTATATGTTGTTTGGGACAACTTCTCTGTGCTCACAGACTATGCACTGCCTTCTTTAGGGTTTAATAAAGGAGCTAAAATAACATGATAGCAGAAACTTACACTTGTACACTTTTAATTTAGCTACCCCCAAACAGAAATGGCAACTATCAATATGCCATATAGCCAAAAAAAAAAAAAAAAAAATGGTTTTACGCTATCGTAAAATCTTTTCTTTCTTTTTTTTTTTTTTTTTTTTTTTGAGTTGGAGTCTCATTCTGTCACCAGGCTGGTGTGGAGCAGTGTGATAAAACTAATTTTTGTATCAATTAACTGTCTCTCCTCAGAACAGATCTTTTTTTTTTTTTATCTGTATATAGTCCTTACTTACTATATTATCCATATTTTAAATCAATATGTTTTATCTCCTAGCTAGATAATAAATTTTTCACGGGTTTAGGTGGTATTTATTTCCATTTTTGACAGAAACATCAGATATAATAAATTCTCAATCACATTT